CCTAGTAGGGAAAGTGAAAGAGTCATAGCACAACTAATGCCTTAAAATGAACAAATAGTTGTAATAGTTATTATTGTGCTCAAAGCTATGCAAAACGTCTCCAAAACGTCTCCACGCGGTTGCCCTAGACATCAAGTCGTCAAACAAATCATATGAATTATTAATGTTAGACTTTTCCTTCTCCTGTCGAATATATTTTAGGAATATATTTTTGAAACAAGGAAAATAAAATAAAATGTAATCAATCGATGACCAGTGGATGTAAATAAATACGTTTTACTAACTAAATACATGTACAGTATCTCAATTCAGTTAAACATATTAGTTCAACAAAATTTAATGAATATTTGATTAGTATCTAAATTGTCTTAATTTTAATTAATTTGTGAGTTATTTTTCACACATTAGTATTGCATGAACTGAATTCTATATAAGAGTCATTGAGAATACATTGAACACATTTATTAGTATAACTTTTCAATGAATGGACAAGAGTGTGGTTTTTAAACAAATATTCTTTAATTAATAATGAATACGAATATAACACTTAAAATATATTTTCCATCAAAAAAGTTAGTTTCCACACCAATTATATTTTGAGAAGAAAGATATCAGGAAAATATAAATCTTTTCAAATGTGCCTAACATTATGAATTATATTGATAATTTGCAATAAAAATCTCATAACAATATAGATTGGTTAAGTGTTTGTTGGAAATTAGTTAATCACATTAATTGTTATCATTAATATCCTTATTTGGTTTAAGTGTTACACAGTATATAAGGGTTGCAAACTATATAAACTTCGTCTCTTTTAAAGGTTTGATATAAATTTCATAGATATTCATATAAAGACATATTTATTTGAGGCATAATTTGTTGCCTAAATTTAAATATGCGGTCAATTATGTATACATTGGCTCTAATGCTAATATGTTTGTGCGCTATAAGTATAGACAATGTTGAGAGTCAGCAAACAATACCGGCGTCAGTGGTCTGTTACTACAGCGCGTGGGCTTATAATAGACCCAAACCCATGAACTACGATATTGAAGACATTAACGGCGATCTCTGCACTCATATCATCTACTCGTTTGTCGGTTTGGATAACAAGACATACGATTTGCGACAATTGGACCCGAAGTACGCCATCGACCAGAAGGGCTACGAAAGGTTTGTGGGTTTACGCAAGAAGTATCCGCACCTCAAGCTGTCGGTGGCGATCGGGGGTTGGGATGAGGGCGGCAAACAGTACTCGGAAATGGTGGCCAATAAGGATAAAAGGACCACGTTTATCAAGGACGTGGTCGATTTGCTAAACAAGTACGGTTTCGACGGGTTTGATCTGGACTGGGAGTACCCTGGTGCGTCGGACAGACAGGGCGCTTACGCCGATAAAGCCAACTATTTGCTGCTCGTACAGGAAATGCGGGCCGCGTTTGACAAACAGTCCCGCAAACTATTGCTAACGGCAGCGGTTCCGGTGCCTAAGTTCCGGCTACAGGACGGCTACGAAGTGAAACAATTGGGCGAACTGTTGGATCAAATCCATTTGATGACATACGACTTGCGGGGCGTGTGGGCCGGCTTTGCCGACGTTCACTCACCTCTATATAGACGCCCCGGTATTGATGAATACGCCTACGAAATGCTCAATATTGTAAGTTATCATTTAATTAGTTTTTAAACACTTGTTAAGATATGCAATATTTTGTTGTAATTTATAATAACACATATAATATGGTCACTCAGAATGACGGCACAAACCTGTGGCACACTATGGGAGCGCCCAAACACAAGCTTATAGTTGGGATACCTCTTTACGGCCGTTCGTATACTTTAGGCGACAAAACACAACACGGATTGAAAGCGCCGATCAACCGCTGGAATCCGCCCAACTATGGCGGCGGAAATCCCGGCAAATACACCAACGCTTCGGGAATGTTGGCCTACTATGAGATATGCGGTCTAAAGGACTGGACCCATGAGACCGATAATGTGGGCAAATGTCCCTTCGCTTACTCCGGAGACCAATGGGTGGGTTATGAGGACGAGAAGAGTGTGGGCGAGAAAATGGATTGGGTTGTGCAACAGGGCTATGGAGGCGGTATGGTTTGGGCCATGGATTTGAATGATTTCACCGGCAGTTGCGNGGGTTGTGCAACAGGGCTATGGAGGCGGTATGGTTTGGGCCATGGATTTGGATGATTTCACCGGCAGTTGCGGTCCGAAGAATCCGTTGTTGACTGTCATGAAGAATAAGCTAAAAGACTATAAAGTAATCGTCGGTTAGTAAACACAAGCAGTAATAGTTAATAAAATTAATTATTAATTAATAAATTCATTGCGAATTGATTAATACAATTTTGTCTTTATTTTATTGTAAATAAAACCACAATTGCATTGTACTGTACAATATGTGTTTAATCTGTGCCACTTTTATTATTGTAATAATTGGTGATTAACTTATTAAAGGGAAACAAATTTTAAAATAATAGATCCAAGCGGTGCGACCACTGAGTCTGGCCCTCACACGCCTCGACCGGTGGTGACCACATCAGGTCCGGTCGGTACGACTGAATCGGGCGGAACGGCGGGAACTGTGGCCACACTATCGCCGCTCACTCCCGACGAACAGTGTGCTAAAGGATCGGTAAAGTTTGTGCCGAACGCCAACTGCCATAAATATTACTGGTGTGTTATGAGAAAGGCTGAGCTGAAGACATGCGATACGGGAACCATTTGGGATATGGATCTGAGTGAATGCGTTTGGCCCGACGGCAAACCCAGACCCTATTGTCATATGATTTAGTTTTAAACAATTTATGTTTATTTAATAATTAAAATTTTGTTTTTAATTTTCTATGTTTTTAACAATGTTTTATAATTCCCATAAAACAGGATTAGCCAATGATTTATTGTTTATATCTTTTGTTTTTGATTTAAAGTAATCTTTTTTGATTATTCAAAGTAAAAGTATTTTGAAATAATTTTGTGATATATTAGTTATATTACTGTATTATACAGCTGTATATTGGCGCGTTCATTAAGTGGTCGGAGTCTAAAATTACTTTAGGTTAAAATGGATGGCAAATTTTTTTGATAAATGCCATTATATTGATTTAAACGCTATTTCATGCAGTCATTATTCCTCTTTAATTTTATGTAAAAAATGTTTCAAAATTATTTTAAGAAGTGGTAATTTCATCCAAAAGTTATGGCACCGAGAACATTGTAAATTCTAACATATTTTTGTTTTAAGTTAAAAGCACTAATAAATAGACTCACAGTTACAATATATCAATCTTAATCGATGTATCGGATATCAACCAATGATATTAATTGCTCAAAAGTATTAAATCAGATGATTATAACCTTAAAGATCGCACCCGAACGGCCCGACATCGGGAAGTGGACAATCGCGTGCCAAAAGTTCGGGTTGTGTACGATCCGCGATTTTGACACATGGAATAGTTGGTCAACTTATACTTATACTGGAAAATAATTTGTGGCCATTTAAACCCAAGTGGGCATTTTTCAGAGCGTGTAATTGCATACATGTCTAAAATATGCCTAATTTTGGCCTATTTTTAGACCCTATTTTTCATAAAATTACATTTAAAAAATTCTAAGGCTTTGGCCGACAAGTTCTCTCACACCTACCATATTCTCCTATTATTCCACTATCACATGACTTTTATCATCATTCTCTGCAGTCATGTTTTGGTGGTAGAAATTGCAAAACAAAAGTAGTGGTTGAAATTGACTTTACTCACTTTGTTGCTTTACAGAACCGCCATTTCTATCGGGAAATAAATGAAACTTTGTACGATTGATGCCCAATATTTGCCAATTCAATTGGCTATTACATAAATTGAAATAATTGCTTGCTTCATAATTAAAAAATACTTTTAAATTTTCATTACGAGATTATGATTATTTCTTGAACGACCCAATATTATATGCCCTCTAATGCTATAGAGATTTCATGCCGTATAACACATACAAGATATGCCATCAATTCCTTTATACCATACATAATACCCAAACGACTATTTATTAAAATCCAATATATATTTTCTACACAAAAACCTAAATTATATTTATAAGCGGAACATAGTTTTATTACTCCGTATATGATATGATACATGCATTTGCAATATTAGGACATAATAAGTATAAAATTTTTATCAATATCGTTTTTGATCTCTGCCTTTGTTTCAATGTAACTATTATTTTCATACGCGTTGTGTGTGTTTTCTGCCGTAATGTTAAAATTGATTTTGTTATACATTATATAAAAGAAAATATAGCAAAATATTTGCAACACAAACAACAAAACACCATTTAATACACTGTTGGGAAACGAGTAAAACGAGAATAACCCACACATTTGAGAGTCACACCTGAAAAAAGTTACCAAAAAGTTTTTTATATAGCTATTGATGCGGTACTGTTCGTATATGTATTATATATACATTATATATTATATATAAATTATATTTATACAATATATGTATTTATTTCAATATAAATAATTGCCACAATAATAATAAATTTGTATGATTTTCAAAAATAAAAAGCAAAACACAGACAAAACTATTTTTCGTCATGTCATCGATTTATTAAATTATAATTATTATTGTATTATATTTATAGCAATTATGGCTCAAAAGTATATGAATCTATAGATCGATGCCCGGAGTCGACACTTTATAACCGATATTTTCATTAGTGTATAAACCGTTAAAATTGATTTTTGATTAATTAAATCAATTATTATTTCTTTCATATATTAAACAAAGAATTAATTAATAATAAATGCTTTATTTAAGGGTTATAGAGGAGGTATATATAAGTCAAATATAACCCGAAATTAAATACATTTATAATAATAATCAAATGAAAAGAGCATTTCGTGCGCAAGAATTTTCTCTCCTATTGAATGGATAGTAATTTATGAGTAAATTATTTAAGGGCTTAAAAATAAACTCTAATTTTAGTTGAAAAGACTCGGCGTATAGTTGAGAGAAACGAGGCTTTTGTTGGTCTGGAAAATAAGTTAATTAACTTTTTTTGTATATGTGTTGCGAACGAAATATTAATAATAATACCATTTAGATCGAGGGGACAGCAAATGCAAACAATATATGATTTGTATTTTTTCATACATAACATTGTGTGTCTGTTTAGATATTAGGCTATGTTTTGAGCATAAATTAAATTGTTAAATGTATTGCACAAATGCATTGTCTTTAATGATAACGTGTTTTTTTGTGTTGAATTATGATTATGTGTCTCGGGATTAGAGCCCCGGAGTTCACACACACTAAAAGACTTAACAAAGTTTTTATTATTGTTACGATTATTACAATTATTGACAAAATCACAAACACGACAACCAATGCCTAAGAATAGAGTCTATGGTTTAGTGTTGAGAATAATTGAATTGAGTTTATGTTTTGGCTTAAGAAAAAGTTTAAGGAAATGATTGCAAAAGATTTTTTAATTGCTCTGAAAATTACTGTTTTAAAAGTAATTAATATTTATCTATTATATGCATGTATTATATTATAACACATTTTATAAATTAGTTTAAAAATTGTTGTAATTTCTATGCAATTAATTATCTGAACAATTGTTTTATATTCATTTGTATTGAATATGTAATTAAATGTATATTTTTATAACTAATTTAGGATTGAAGTACTTTTTGTTTTTGTTTGAATAATTAGTTAATTAATTGCAGTAAATATATAGCGATTAACACTTAAAGACTTATTAAATATGAAAATCAATAACAAAAAAGCAAATATAAAACCAAATAAAACAAAAAAATAGCGCAAAATTGAATTGAAAATGAATTAATTATTAATAATAACTTTATTGATCGATCGTATCGTCGATTCGAGTCAATGATTTCATAAAGTGTTTATTTATTGTGCATATAATGTGTGCAAAAGTCTATATTATATAATATCAGTCATGAAAAGGCAAAACCAGTTTTAATTGATCGATAATTCATTAGAAATTAATGATCAGAATTACTGGCGAAGACTTTATCGCCACTAAAAGGGAAGATAACAACGGAATCGGGAATTAGGAAAAACACATAGAAATTCGTGACCAAAAATTGCTTGTTTTAAAAATTGAATTTTAGTTTTAACACCAAAAATTTGCTTCAAATTTCATATTAAAATTGTTTTAACAAAATATAAATATTCTGTTGTATTGAAAAATAATTATATAAATGCGAAATATTTTGTATTTGTTTTTTGGTTTTTATATTTAAGAGTAAAAGAAATCTTTAAAATAAATATTTAAGGATTTGCAAAGGCTTTTGAGTGAAAGTCTATCATTTATTCGCTCATAAATAGCCCCCAAAGTTGTCAGAGCTTTACATTTTGAGAGCAATTCTTGTCATTCCTATAATATTTGTCTTATTTTTATCATTATTTGCTGTTTTTATTAATTAAATAAAATTTTTATAACAAATTGTTTATGGAGTTTATGGATAGAAAGACTATTAAATAAAACATCTCATCAAATATATCACTAATATTTTTATTTATTTTATTCGTATATAGTTTTCTGTGTGGAAAATATGAACTTTATTTTAATGGCAAATAGATTTTTGGGTACAGAATATATACTATCCTTTCATTTATGAGAAACAAATTGAAAATTTATGGCAAATATTTTTTCGCCGAAGAAAAAAGTTTTTACATTTAATTTTCTCAACAAATAAAATAAAGTCTCAAATTTTATGATAATGTCATCTCTTTTATAATGTTTAATAAATTTTGTGGAGAAATATTTGAGTTAGTGATTGATTAATGC